TGCGTTTTCTCTAAAATAATGCTTTTCTGGACGGTTTTCTGTAGAGCAATGTCTTTATTATACACTTTTCTATAGAACACTTATTTCTTTGGACAGTTTCCTATAGAAAAGTATCTTTTCTAAATAATTTCCATTAAGCAGTTTCCTGTTAAATACGGTTTTCTTAAGTCAGTTTTCTATAGCATAATGACAGTTTTTAAACAGTTTTCTGCAAAACACTTTGTATTATGTTATTGTTTTAAAAAGTTTAATTTAGAAAATCGAATTCTATTTTCCTATAAAAATTGCCCATTTTTCATTAACTTTTTTTAAATTGCAACAAAAAATAATATTGCCAATATTTTTTTCAATTAACCGAGTTTACCTCAATATTGTTTTTAACAAAAAGAAATGTTTTTTTTTAGTTTGCAATAAACTATGAAAATGAATTGTATTAATTGAAAAGTTCGCCTTTAACTTTTAGGTGGCTGGTATCTGTGTGAATGAATGAATGAGTGAGTGAGTGAATGTGTTTGTGTGTATGAGAGAGAAAATATGTGTTGGTATTTATTGCCTTAAGGAAATTTTTCAATATGAAATGCATTCAAAGCATTTTTTTAAAAACTATTTATAAATGTAATAGTTTGTGTATGAGTGTTGGAACTTGCAACTAATTGTGTGAATTTTAGTTTGTTTTGCTACTTCCTTGAACATTATAAGATCATCCTGTTCGCCGTTTGAAATTTTAGAAAAGGGGGGAGTAGGATGTTTAGTTACAGAAAAATGAGCAACTTGTGTGCGAAACTAAATAGTTTAAAAAAAGTGTTTATTAAGCTAAAAAGTACTTTTAAAGTAAAATAAGTAACCGAGTTTGTACCTAGAAAAATTTTATTAACTCTAGGTTATAACTTGACCCTTTTAATCAAAATTGCGATAAATCTTTAAAAATATTTATCTCAGTCCTTTTAATACTAAGTAGTTTTCAAAAACAACTTTCTTAGAAAACACTCGATTATTCAAGCACTCTAATATTTTATGCACAGCATTTTTCCGCACAAATGAACAAGAACAACTACAGCAACAACATCAACAACAACAAGTATAAATAAAACCAACTACAAGTGTACCAGCAACATCATCAACAATTACAATAACATCACAACTGCAGCAAATACTTTAGCACGAACAGCAGCAGTAACAAGAACAAAAACAGCAACAACAACAACTGCTGTTGCCTTTAAGTAGTTCGTTCGTAGGCATTTAATCATTAAAGCGGAAATATGTCTAAAAGCATTTTATAAAACCAAACCAAAACTGTAACGATTATAAATGTACATTTGATTAAATGTCAGAGCAATTCATAAGTCACTAAAAATTTTAATATAAAGTAATTTTTCAAAATCCTTTGATTTTTATATTATTGAATAATATTTTATGAATTTAACTTTCAATTTATAGAAGTTTCGATTTGAAAATTTTATTTACTTAACAATTGAGTCTCGTCATAATCAAATGATTGCTTACGAATACCCTAAAGAGACAGAATATTACAAAAATGAAACTTTTCTTCGTTATTTTTTTTTTTTTTTGCCATTTTTAAATTATTAAATCTCCCATAGTGAATATGATTCGTTCAAAATAGTTGTGAATGTTATATTGATACTAGGGATTTTAGTTTTAAGTTTTTTTTTTTTTAAGAAAAACTGTGAATAATTGAAAAGCAACTTAATACACTGTTTCCAATTAGAATTTTATGAAAAAAAAATCTTATAGAAAATATATATTTTTTCTAGAGGATAAATTAATTTTTTATAAAACACTGACTTTTTAGGCAGTTTACTTCTGACAGTTTTTTTATAAGCAATTTTTCACAGAACAGTTTCTTTCCCTAAATTTTTCTGTAGAACAGTGTCTTTTCAGTTTTCTTTAGAATACTGATATAGTTCTACAAAAAAAAGGTTATATTCATAGAGTTTTGTACAGAACAGTTTTCTTTTAGACAGTTTTTTTTAAAGAACATTATTTTTATTAGCAGTTTTTGCTTGAAAGTTTTCTATAAAACCGTGTTCTTGTTTCTACACAACAATATATTTTCTATAGAACAATGCTTCTTTAGACAGATCAGTTTTCTAAAGAATGATGTCTTTTAGATAGTTTTCTATAAAGCAGTGTGGCTGCTTTCTTTCATTAGTTTTCTTTAAAACTATTTATTTTAGACAGTTTTCTTTAAAAATGTTTCTTTTAAACTGTTTTTCTTAAAACTTAAACTTTTAAACTGTTTTCTATAGAAAGTTTTCTTTGGAATACAGTTTTCTATAGAACAGTGCTTTCATTTCTTTTTGTTCTAAGAAATTTTGTCTTTTTATGCAGTTTTCAGTAGACTATATCATTTTTAGATATTTTTCTATAAAACAGAAACTTTTTAAGCAGTTTTCTATAGAAGAATAACATTTTAGACAGTTGTCGAAAGTCAGCTTTCTCTAGAACACTGATTCTATCAGACTGTTCTCTATAGAATAATGTCCTTTAAGAGTTTTCTATATCGTTTTCTTTACAACAAATTGATTTTTTCGCACAGTTTTCTATAAAATAATGACTTTAGACATCGGGTTTCTAAAAAGTTGCGTAGTTTTAGACAGTTTTCTATAGAACATTGTTTTCTTTAGAGAGTTTATTTTTGGAAAAATTTCTTCAAAACTGTTTTCTATAAAACAATGCCTTTTTAAACAGTTTTTTGTAAAACGGTGTCTTTTTAGACCAATTTCTTTAGAACAGTGTATTTTGAAACAGTTTTCTGTAAAACAGTGTCTTTTTTAGACATTTGTCTATAGAGCTGTTCCTTCAAAGACAATTTTGTTAAGCACCCTGGTTCTTTAGACAGTTTTCTATACAACATTATTTTCTTTATAGAGTTTTCTAAAGGACAGTTTTCTGTAAAACGAATAGCGTATTTTTAGACAATTTTCTCTAGAACAGTGTCTTTTTTAGACGTATGTTTATAGAGCAGTGTCTTTTAAGAAAATTTTGTTAAGAGCACTGCTTCTTTAGATAGTTTTCTGTAAAACGAGTGGTGTAGTTTCAGACAGTTTTTTAGAACAGTGTCTTTTAAGACAGTTTTCTTAAGAGCACTGCTTCTTTAGACAGTTTTTATACAACATTATTTTCTTTATTGAGTTTTCTGTAGGACATTTTTCTGTAAAACGAATCTTCTGACAGTTTTCTTTAGAAATGTGACTTTTAAGTCTTAAGAGCAGTGTCTTTTAAAACAGTTTTCTTAAGACGACATGTTTATTTACACAGTTTTCTAGATAACATGGTTTTCTTTAGAAAGTTTTCTAAAGGACAGTTTTCTGTAGAACAGTGTCTTTTTAAGACATTTGTCTATACAGCAGTATTTTCTAGAGGACAGTTTTCTGTAAAACGAGTGGTGTAATTTTAGACAGTTTTCTGTAGAACAGTGTCTTTTTTAGACATTTGTCTATAGAGCAGTGTCTTTTAAGACAGTTCTCTTAAGACCATTGGTTCCTTTAAGCAGTTTTCTATAGAACATGGTTTTCTTTAAAGAGTTTTCTAAAGGACAGTTTTCTGTAAAACAAGTGCTGTATTTTTCTGTAGAACAGTTTTTTTTAAGACATTTGTCTGTAGAGCAATGACTTTTAAGACAGTTTTCTTTAGTGTACAGGTTTCTTTAGACACTTTCTATAGAATATGGTTTTCTTTAGAAAGTTTTCTAAAGGATAGTTTTCTGTAAAACGACTGGTGTACTTTTAGACAGTTTTCTGTAGACCAGTGTATTTTTTAGATATTTATCTTTAGAGCAGTGTCTTTTAAGACATCTTTTTTTAAGATTACTGGTTTTTTTAAACAGTTTTCTATAGAACATGATTTTCTTTAGAGAGTTTTCTAAAGGACAGTTTTCTGTAAAACGAGTGGTGTATCTCTAGGCAGTTTTTTTTTGTAAAACTGTTTCTTTTTAAGACATTTGTCTATAGAGCAATGTCTTTTAAGACAGTTTTCTTAAGAGTACAGGATTCTTTAGACAGTTTTCTATAGAATATGGTTTTCTTTAGAGAGTTTTCTAAAGGATAGTTTTCTGTAAAACGACTGGTGTACTTTTAGACAGTTTTCGGTAGAACTGTGTCTTTTTAAAACAGTTGTCTATAGAGCAGAGACTCTTAAGAGAATTTTGTTTCTTTAGACAGTTTTCAGAAATATACAGTTTTCAATAGAATGTTTTCAATAGAACAGTTTCTTTTTAGAAAGTTTTTTATATAGTAAAATTTATACGACATTTTACCACAGGTCAGTTTTTTGAAAACTGTTTAATTTTAGACAGTTTTCTTTAGAATTTATTCTAGAGCAGTGTTCTACGGAAGAATGTCTTTTTAGAGTTTTTTGTAAATCAGTGGTTTTGTTGTTAAATTGCTACTGAACAGTGTCTTTTTTTAAGCAGTTTTTATAGAACAGTGTAATTTTAGTCTGTTTTAGTGCCTTTTTAAGTTTTCTATAGAATATTGCCTATTTTAGGCAGTTTTCAATAAAGTATAGCTTTTAAGACAGTTTTCTCTAAAACACTGCGATATTTAGAAATTGTTCTTTCGAGCAATGTCTTGTTTTCTTTAACACAGTGAAATGGTGTTAAAATATTATGTCTAGCAAAAGTACGTAATGCTTAAGCTGAGCTAAACTTTTAATTAAAATATTGCTGCTAGTTGCTCTTTTTTCTATAAATATAGTTTTTAGTTTGTTTTCTATAAGTATTTGCTATATAAAAACACATCATGACAATCATTATCATTATCGGGATTATTAAGTGACCTGATGTCATGAATTTCAATATAACTAAATGCGATGGTTGAGACAGTTTTGCAGTAGTTAAATTTAAAATTTAAAAACAATATTCGAGTTTATAATAAAAATTATCAAACTATTCGAATTTGTAGTAATAAGAAACAAATTTTGTTAAAATTATATATAATTAATTTGTTATTTTTTCCTTTTTTTTTTCTTTTTAGGTAAGATTTTCATTTGAGAAATTTGCAAAAATGCTATGTGAATATAAATGGTAAGAAAGTTAAATATTTATTTACTTTATTTAACAATATAATATCAAATTATATTATAATTTAACTAAGCAGAAGAGACATTGTAGTTAGTAATGAACCCACGACCGTGTGTTTAATAGAACTGTCATACTATTATTTAACTACTAGTTGCTAGAAAAACTTAAAATACTTGAGAAAAAAATCATCAAAATTCTAAACTCAAATTCCATTTATCTACAAATTAACTTAATTTTCCATAAAATTAGTTTATTACTTTTTTTATACCCACCATCAAAAAAGATGGGGGTATATTGATTTTGTCATTCCGTTTGTAACACATCGAAATATTGGTCATAGACCCACAAAAGTATATATATTCTGGGTCCTCATTAAATTCTAAGACGATCTAGCCATGTCTGTCCGTCCGTCCGTCTGTCTGTCTGTTGAAAGCACGATAGAGTCCGAATGGAAAGAGCTAGATGGTTGAAATTTCACATAAATATTTCTTATAGGTAAGGTTTGTTTGGTATTGAAAATGGGCAATATCGGTCCACGTTTTCGGATAGCCCCCATACAAGTGGCCCCTCGAAAAGCAGCTTTAACAGCCATAACTTGTTTAAAAATACGAATATAGCGATGAAATTCGACATAAGTAAGTTTCTATAAGTAAGTTGCTATGAGGATCGGTCCATAATTGACCCTACCTCCCATATAAGGTCCCCTTCAGAAAATGACTTTAACGCTCATTACTGGCTTAAAAATACTAGTATATAGATGAAATTCGACATAAGTAAGTTTCATACGAAGCAAAATCTATCTAAAAAATGTTATGTTGATCGGTCCATGATTGACCCTACCCCCATATAAGGTCCCCTTCAGAAAATGACTGCAACGCTCATTAATGGCTTAAAAATACAAGTGTAGCGATGAAATTCAACACAAATAAATTTAATACGAACCAAATTCCGTCTACCAAATTTTATGAGGATCGACCCATAATTGACCCTACCCGCCTATATAAGGTCCCCTTCAGAAAATTACTTTAACGCTTATAACTGGCCTAAAAATACGAGTATATAGATGAAATTCGACATATGTAAGTTTCATTCGAGTCAAACGAGGTTTGATGGTGGGTATATAAGATTCGGCATAGCCGAATATAACACTCTTACTTGTTTTTTTTTTTTGTTATTCAGAAATTTATTCATGTGTATGAACATTTAATATAGGTGACCTTTTTTTGTTGTTGTTATTTCTGAACCTTATATAAGTTATTTGACTTATGTGCGTTGTTGTCTTAAATAAAGAAAATACGTATTCAAATTGAAACAATATAAATTTAACCGAAAAAAATGGGAAAATACACAAGTGTAATGACAATTTTGTTAGTATTTATAGAGGTTTGTTTTTCTGGGCAAAATGAAAAACTTAAGACTTTAAGACAATCTTTCCGAGACGTACAACTAAAACGTATGTACTTTGTCTTTGTAATACTTTGTATTTTTTAAAGCAAATATTTTTCTGCACAATTTCACAATAACACGTGTCGCATACATTTTTTTTATTTTATAAAATTTTACAAAAATATATATGTGAGAAAATACATATATAAACATCTTAAGAATATTCCCTGGGGTCATTTTGGAAACTGAAACAAAACAAAACATACAAGCAATTGACATTGAATGTAAAATACAGTCATACGCTACATATGTATTACAAGTAACAGTTTTAATAGAATACATACAAAAAACCTATATAAGTTTAAAACAGTGATGGGCAAATATATATTTCGTTTTTACAAGAGTTTTTTTCACTCCTAATGCATATCAAAAGATTTCATTTTTACAAGTTCTGTAAACAAAAATATACCCTGGTGTCTAACAACTTTTAAAGCTCATGGTTTGTGAATCCTAAACCACTTGGTGTTAATCTTCTTATATTCATATTTTCCAATTAGTTAAAGGAACTTACAACATTGTCTACATGTTGTTGACAGTACAGTTAGGATTTCCAATTTGTTTAAGAAAAAAATCTGAGTTTTATATAGAAAAACTATAAGCAAACAGAAAATATCAAGCCACTTTGCTAAATCAACACTCTTGGGAAATAATACTTTCTACATACAATATCATCTATGTATGTATGTATGTATGTATGTATGTTTTTTTTACTTATTTCATTATCTTTTTCTAGCTGTCTTTTTTGTTTTTAATTAAGGTTGACAAATTATACAGTAGACATTAAAACAAAGACGGACCGACAGACAGACTCTTAACTAACACATCTCCTACTTCTCACCCCTGCGGGTTCGTATATAAACAAATACTACAAGTATTAAATGGAAAATTGTACATTTAACTTTTTGAGATTCAACAACTACCAGCAGCAGTTGGAGTATTTGTTAAATCTAAATATAATTATTTTATGTGCAAAAATCTCTAAAGAGAATTGTATTTTTGTTTGTATTATTGTAATAGGATTTTATAGTATTTGTTGGGTACTAAGGGGCTAATAAAAGGATGTTGTAAATTTTTAAAACAAATAAACAAACAAATGTACAATTTTAAATGAAAATAGATTTTATATTTAAGTAGACAAAGCAAAATCAATTGACTTTTGAACAGAGAGATGAAGGATGTTCATATTGAAGATACTTTTCTACACAGTTCTATTTAAACTCTAGTTCAGTTCTAGTTCAGTTCTAGTTCAGTTCAGTTCTAGTTCAGTTCTAGTTCAGTTCTAGTTCAGTTCTAGTTCAGTTCTAGTTCAGTTCTAGTTCAGTTCAGTTCTAGTTCAGTTCTAGTTCAGTTCTAGTTCAGTTCAGTTCTAGTTCAGTTCTAGTTCAGTTCTAGTTCAGTTCTAGTTCAGTTCTAGCTCAGTTCTAGTTCAGTTCTAGTTCAGTTCTAGTTCAGTTCTAGTTCAGTTCTAGTTCAGTTCTAGTTCAGTTCTAGTTCAGTTCTAGTTCAGTTCTAGTTCAGTTCTAGTTCAGTTCTAGTTCAGTTCTAGTTCAGTTCTAGTTCAGTTCTAGTTCAGTTCTAGTTCAGTTCTAGTTCAGTTCTAGTTCAGTTCTAGTTTAGTTCTAGTTCAGTTCTAGTTCAGTTCTAGTTCAGTTCTAGTTCAGTTCTAGTTCAGTTCTAGTTCAGTTCTAGTTCAGTTCTAGTTCAGTTCTAGTTCAGTTCTAGTTCAGTTCTAGTTCAGTTCTAGTTCAGTTCTAGTTCAGTTCTAGATCAGTTTAGTTCAGTTCTAGTTCAGTTCTAGTTCAGTTCTAGTTCAGTTCTAGTTCAGTTCTAGTTCAGTTCTAGTTCAGTTCTAGTTCAGTTCTAGTCTAGTCAGTTCTAGTTCAGTTCTAGTTCAGTTCTAGTTCAGTTCTAGTTCAGTTCTAGTTCAGTTCTAGTTCAGTTCTAGTTCAGTTCTAGTTCAGTTCTAGTTCAGTTCTAGTTCAGTTCTAGTTCAGTTCTAGTTCAGTTCTAGTTCAGTTCTAGTTCAGTTCTAGTTCAGTTCTAGTTCAGTTCTAGTTCAGTTCTAGTTCAGTTCTAGTTCAGTTCTAGTTCAGTTCTAGTTCAGTTCTAGTTCAGTTCTAGTTCAGTTCTAGTTCAGTTCTAGTTCAGTTCTAGTTCAGTTCTAGTTCAGTTCTAGTTCAGTTCTAGTTCAGTTCTAGTTCAGTTCTAGTTCAGTTCTAGTTCAGTTCTAGTTCAGTTCTAGTTCAGTTCTAGTTCAGTTCTAGTTCAGTTCTAGTTCAGTTCTAGTTCAGTTCTAGTTCAGTTCTAGTTCAGTTCTAGTTCAGTTCTAGTTCAGTTCATTTCAGTTCTAGTTCAGTTCTAGTTCAGTTCTAGTTCAGTTCTAGTTCGTTCTAGTTCAGTTCTAGTTCAGTTCTAGTTCAGTTCTAGTTCAGTTTCTAGTTCAGTTCTAGTTCCGTTCTAGTTCAGTTCTAGTTCAGTTCTAGTTCAGTTCTAGTTCAGTTCTAGTTCAGTTCTAGTTCAGTTCTAGTTCAGTTCTAGTTCAGTTCTAGTTCAGTTCTAGTTCAGGTTCTCTGTTAAGTTCTAGTTAAGTTCTAGTTCAGTTCTAGTTCAGTTCTAGTTCAGTTCTAGTTCAGCTCTAGTTCAGCTCTAGTTCAGTTCTAGTTCAGTTCTAGTTCAGCTCTAGTTCAGTTCTAGTTCAGTTCTAGTTCATTTCTAGTTCAGTTCTAGTTCAGTTCTAAATCAGTTTTAGTTCAGTTATAGTTCAGATTTCAAGGCTTTAGTCCGTGAGAATCTATAATGAATCGAAGACACATTTTCGCATTGGATTCCATTCTCTTACATATCTGTCAACGTTTTGGTAACTAAATTCAATTGAAAATGTTTATAGCACAAGATATTTACTTCAACTAACTGCACAGTTCCTATGTTATATAATACTCCATGTTTAGTCTACAAAATGTCACAAAATACTGTTGCTTTACTAAAAAAAAACTTTTTCGTGTAGATTTTATTACAAAACTCCATCGTTGTTTTCTATAAAAATGCAATGGAAAAAATATTTAATATTCAAGCCACAACCTGTTGTTTTCGGGAAAAAAGTTTGTTTATAAATTTTTAAACCAATTTTTATTCAAAAGTTTGTTTTTAGTTTTTTTTTTTTCAATTTTATTTTCATTCCATCTACAATTCTCAAATGAATTGACAGTTAAGTGAACATAAAAAAGTCATATTAACACATTTCAAAAAACTAATATACACACTGTTTTACAAACAAATACATACATATTTTGAAAGATAGACAGACACACATTGTGTCACCCAAATAAAAGAAACATACAATGCCATAAATATCCATATTGTGGAAGGACTAAAATCCCCAAGAGTATTATTGCATTATAAAATACAGACACATTGTTTTGTTAATTCCACAAAAAATAAGTAAAAAAGGAGAACTGTAATAAATTTACTGCAAGTGGTGAGAAGGTGTGAAGAGAAATAAATCATACAAAATTCATTTTTATAAAAAAATAAAAAAAACAAAAAAAAATACGATTTCTTTCTCAAAACTTTTCAACTTTAGCTAATATAGATTTTTAGCTTTTGTGAAACATGTATCGCTTAATACGTGTCACTCTGTTTATATTGTTAGTTAAATGCACAATTTTATGTCTTTTTGTGTGTGTGTAGGAAACAAAAAAAAAAATGGCAACTGATCTCATCAACAATTGTAAAAAAGAACAAAAAACTTTTTTATGATAAGATTACTTTATCTTCAGAATTTTGTGCTAAATATTAAATTGAACCCAATTAAAAGGGAGCCAGTGAAATAGAAAAGATAATTTAAAAATGTTTGTTTTATTTTTCTATAGACAAATGCTGTTCTTCGACTTTAAATTAAATAAATTTCTTTCGTAGACACTTTCACAGTCACTGTTCTTTAGACAAATGTGATGCCATTCAAAGAATCTACTCGAAACAAATGTATTTCAGGGTAATTTTTGCCTTTCGAAGTCATTTCTCTATAAACAAATATCTTTTGAAGACACTTTTCTATAGACAAATATCTTTCGGAGTCACGGTTCTATAGACAAATGTCTTTCGATGACACTTTTTTATAGACAAATACCTTTGAATGCACAGACAAATATCTATCAGAGTCATATATAAGTAACATTCGGAGTCACTGTAGACAAATATGTTTTGGAGTCATATACAAGAAACTTTCGGAGTGACTGTCCTATAGACAAATATCATTCGGAGTCTCGGCTATATATAGACAAATATCTTTAGGAGTCGTTCTACTATTTTTTTATAGAAAATATCTTTTCGAATGTGATTCGAAGAACGTACTCGAGACAAATGTATTTCAAGGTAATTTTTGCCTTTCGAAAAAAATCTTTCGGAGTCACGGTTCTATAGACAAATGTCTTTTGAAGACAATTTTCAATAGACAATACTTGTAGCATCCTATAGACAAATATCTTTCAGAGTCATATACAAGTAACTTTCGGAGTAACTTTCCTATAGACAAATATCCTTCAGAGTCACTGTCCTATAGACAAATATCTTTCAGAGTCATATGCAAGTAACTTTCGGAGTAACTGTCCTATAGACAAATATCTTTCGAATACACTTTTCTATAGACAAATGTCTTTCGGAGTCCTTTTTCTAAAGAAAATTGTCTTTCGGACTCTTTTCTTTTGTAGAAAAATGTCTCTAGGAAATTTTCGAAAAATTTCTCTTTTTTTTTATAGAAAATTTTCGGAAAATTTCTCTTTTCTTTTATAGAAAATTTTCGGAAAATTTCTCTTTTCTTTTATAGAAAATTTTCGGAAAATTTCTCTTTTCTTTTATAGAAAATTTTCGGAAAATTTCTCTTTTCTTTTATAGAAAATTTTCGGAAAATTTCTCTTTTCTTTTATAGAAAATTTTCGGAAAATTTCTCTTTTCTTTTATAGAAAATTTTCGGAAAATTTCTTTTTATTTTTATAGAAAATTTTCGGAAAATTTCTCTTTTCTTTTATAGAAAATTTTCGGAAAATTTCTCTTTTCTTTTATAGAAAATTTTCGGAAAATTTCTCTTTTCTTTTATAGAAAATTTTCGGAAAATTTCTCTTTTATTTTTATAGAAAATTTTCGGAAAATTTCTCTTCTTTTTATAGAAAATTTTCGGAAAATTTCTCTTTTCTTTTATAGAAAATTTTCGGAAAATTTCTCTTTTCTTTTATAGAAAATTTTCGGAAAATTTCTCTTTTCTTTTATAGAAAATTTTCGGAAAATTTCTCTTTTCTTTTATAGAAAATTTTCGAAAAATTTCTCTTTTCTTTTATAGAAAATTTTCGAAAAATTTCTCTTTTCTTTTATAGAAAATTTTCGAAAAATTTCTCTTTTCTTTTATAGAAAATTTCTTTTTTTATATATTGTTTAAAGAAAATTTTCGGAAATTGTTTGGAACAGAACATTTCTCTTTTCTTTTAAAGAAAATTGTTCTTGTTTTTTTTGCATTGTAGTTAAATTTTAAACTTTTCCGCTTTAAAAATTATATTCCAATCATATTCCCTTGGAATACATAAACATACGTACGTATACGTAATATTTAATTTAAAAACACACAAATAAAAAGTACTCATACGCACTAATGAACCTTCAAAATTAATTAATGAATATTTTAAATGATGAAATTCAATAACTTATAGTACACATAGGTATTATAAATATTTATTTTGTAATTACAATTTTACACATTTATATTTGTTTTACAGTGCAGGTTTAAAAACTAAAATTTATCTCAATTAAAAAAAATTAAGCAACATTTTAATCAACAAGCTTTTATATTAAACGTTTTGTGTGGACTACATTTTTTTAAATTAGTATTTATCGCAATAAAAAAACTAAAACACTTTCTCATTATACTCATACTTTGAACTCAAATAAAGCATGTAATAATTGCACATTTTATTGTAAAAAATATATTTTTCACATTATTTTTTTTAATTAAAAAAGTTTAGACAAAATTCGTGGAATTTTTCTTTTTGTAGATTTGTTAAGTTGTGCTAAAATATTAGTTTTTTTACACTTGAACTAAATTTTTGTTTGCTTAACTTAAGGTTATTTTTATTTAGTAATATTTTGGTGGGTGTGGTAGTAAATGATTTAAAAACACAGAAAAGTGTATTAGAATTTTACTTTCTCTAAAGAAATTGTCTTTGTTTTCTATAAAAAAAAAATTAAATTTCGAAAGTTTTCTATATAAAAATTTAAAGTTTCATATATATTTTATAAAAATAGAAATTTTTGCAATTTGTCTATGAAAAGGTGAAAAGTTTTTATGAAAAGTAAAATTTTAGAAAATTTTTTGTTTAAAAAAATGTATTTTCAAGAAAAAAAAAGAGATATTTTTCAAAAATTTCCTATAATAATATATTTCTTAGAAAATTTCCTGTACTGCTAAACGTATGAGCAATATTTTTTTTATAGAAATCATAACACTTATACGTTTTAGATGTCTATCAAACATGTAAAATATTGATGATATAAAATGTCAAATCAACTAAAAATAAAATAATAAAAACACACTTTCATTTATTTTTTTATATAAAATGAAATATTTGATTTATAAACGCAATTGCCGCGTTACCAAACAAAACTAAGAAATGTTTAACAAGACATGCTATTACATAGAAAAATGATCTATGTGTCTTTTAATAAATTTTCTAAATAATTCTTAAGTATTTCTATAGAAAATTTTTAGAAAATTTCACTTTTCTATAGAAAAGTTTCGGAAAATATCTCTTTTTATAGAAAAATTTCGGAAAGTTTCTCTTTTCTATAAAAAATTTTCGGAAATTTCTCTTTTCTATAACAATTTTTCGAAAAATTTCACTTTTCTATAGTAAATTTTCGGAAATTTTCACTTTTCTATAGTAAATTTTCGGAAAATTTCACTTTTCTATAGTAAATTTTCGGAAAATTTCACTTTTCTATAGTAAATTTTCGGAAATTTTCACTTTTCTATAGTAAATTTTCGGAAAATTTCACTTTTCTATAGTAAATTTTCGGAAAATTTCACTTTTCTATAGTAAATTTTCGGAAAATTTCACTTTTCTATAGTAAATTTTCGGAAATTTTCACTTTTCTATAGTAAATTTTCGGAAAATTTCACATTTCTGTAGTAAATTTTCGGAAAATTTCACTTTTCTGTAGTAAATTTTCGGAAAATTTCACTTTTCTGTAGTAAATTTTCGGAAAATTTCACTTTTCTATAGTAACTTTTCGGAAAATTTCACGTTTCTAAGAAAATTTTCGGAAAATTTCACTTTTTTATAGAAAATTTTCGAAAATTTCTCTTTTTTTACAGAAATTTTTTGGAAATTCTCTTTTTTACAGAAAATATTCAGAAAATTTCTCTTTTCTATAGAAGATTTTCGGAATTTTTCTCTTTTCTATGAAAATGTTCGGGAATTTTTTTATATTCTATAGAAAATTTTCTTTATTCTATAGAAAATTTCGGAAAAATTCTCTTCTCTATAGAAAATTGTTTGAAAATTTATCTTCTCTATAGAAATTTTTTAGAAATTTTTCTTCTTTATAGAATTTTTTTGGAAATTTTCTCTTTTCTTTAGAACATTTTCGAAAAATTTCAAAATTTTGGAAAAATTTCTCTTTTAAAGAAATTCTTGGGAAATTTTCTCAACATTTCTCTTTTTTTAGAAAATTTGCGCAAAACCTTATTTTTGTTAATTGTTCAAAATGTTACTTAAGCTATTTTGCAGACAAGCCTTTTTTAGAGTGTTTTCTTATACATAATAATTTTTTTCTATTTATTCCAACATTGTGCTAAAATAAACTTCTTACTAATTATTGCTTTACATTTTGCCTTGACTTATAAATCGATTGATGATTATTGCGTGTATAAATAAAATATATATATTTTTTGCCATAAATTTCACAACAGCAACAAAAAAACACAAACATTTTCAAACTTGTAGTTTAGCGTTACCACAGAAAAATGAAGGTTGAAATATAAACACCTCCTTACTAAGAAAAAAAAAAATTCCATATCCTTTTTGCACTACTTTCCCTCACCAACTTGTGTTAAAGCAAAAAGTTGTAGAAAAATCACCATTGAGTCAAAAACTAAAATGAAAATCTATAAGGAATTTTTTAAAGAATGTTAGTATTAAATTTGTTTTTCATTATTCTATTATTAAACTTACTTTGAAAATTGTACTCAAATTTAATTCATAGAAATTGTAGGCTGAAAATTTAATAGGATTTTGTAGAATTTGCATAATGAAGTCATCGATATAAAAAGCGGGTACTGATGAGGTTTTCAATTGTTTGGCTATTCTAATAACCTGTAAGAGTAGAAAAAGGTTTAAGTTGTAGATTACGCGAAAAATTTACTTATATTTTTTCACTATTAGATAAAAATCTAATTTATTCCCTTAAAGGGTTAAAGGTTAAATGTTCGATTATTTGAAATAACAAGTTACCCTTTAGCTTATTCCTCTTATTAAAAATGTAAAATATGTAATCGCGAAAAAAGTATTTGTTGCCAACTAAAGTTTTTCATACAAAAACTATTATAAATACCCACTAACGAAAGTAATAACATAAATCGAAAAATGCCATGTAATCAAAAGTTTTTTGCGAAAAAAAACATATTTTCATTTCCTTTTCCAAAATACAATAAAAAAAACATAATAATTTGTTTACAACATAAAGTATCACACACAGGTCAACTTAAAAATAAAACCATTACCGCATAAAAAGTATTTAACTGCTAATTAAAGTTTTTACGGCGAATTCTTTAGTTTCGTTCCCCCTCGATATAAAAAGGTAAAATATCAGAAAAGTTTTTGAATACAACATTTGTTACTTGTTTATTCAAGCATTTTTTTATTTTATTAAAACAAGGAATAACCTTAATTAATTGTTTAAAGTCAGCGAAAAGTTAACAGCCACTTTTGGAAATAAATTTTGTAAACGAAGCATGAAATTTTCAGGGAAAAATCTTTTCTTGTTTTTAAAAAGGAAACAAGAAAGAAAGTTGTTCTTTTAAGAAATAAAACTAAAACAGCAATGAGGTGTGATTAATTTAAATAAGATTGTTTATAAAGGGGTTATAAAACGTTAAAATTTAATTTTAAGTAGTTTAGTTGGTGAAAGTTAAACTCAGAAGGGGAGACTAGGCAATTAAGTAAAAGTATATGCGGGTAAAGATTTAGGAATGGAGAAATTTTCTAAAGAATTTCTATAAAAAAGATAATTTTTTTTGAAGAATTTCTATAGAAAAGATAAATTTTCCGAACATGTTCTGTAGAAAAGATAAATTTTCAGAAAATTTTCTATAGAAAAGATAAATTTTCCGAAAATTTTCTATAGAAAAATTCAATTTTCTGAAAATTTTCTATAGAAAAGAGATATTTTCCGAAACTTTTCTATAGAAAAGAGAAATTTTCCGAAAATTTTCTATATAAAAGAGAAATTTTCCGAAAATTTTCTATATAAAAGAGAAATTTTCCGAAAATTTTCTATATAAAAGAGAAATTTTCTATATAAAAGAGAAATTTTCCGAAAATTTTTTTATATAAAAGAGAAATTTTCCGAAAATTTTCTATATAAAAGAGAAATTTTCCGAAAATTTTCCATATAAAAGAGAAATTTTCCGAAAATTTTCCATATAAAAGAGAAATTTTCCGAAAATTTTCCATATAAAAGAGAAATTTTCCGAAAATTTTCTATAGAAAAGAGAAATTTTCCGAAAATTTTCTATAGAAAAGAGAAATTTTCCGAAAATTTTCTATAGAAAAGAGAAATTTTCCGAAAATTTTCTATAGAAAAGAGAAATTTTCCGAAAATTTTCTATAGAAAAGAGAAATTTTCCGAAAATTTTCTATAGAAAAGAGAAATTTTCCGAAAATTTTCTATAGAAAAGAGAAATTTTCCGAAAATTTTCTATAGAAAAGAGAAATTTTCCGAAAATTTTCTATAGAAAAGAGAAATTTTCCGAAAATTTTCTGTAGAAAAGATAAATTTTCCGAAAATTTTCTATAGAAAAGATAAATTTTCCGAAAATTTTCTATAGAAAAGATAAATTTTCCGAAAATTTTCTATAGAAAAGATAAATTTTCCGAAAATTTTCTATAGAAAAGATAAATTTTCCGAAAATTTTCTATAGAAAAGATAAATTTTCCGAAAATTTTCTATAGAAAAGATAAATTTTCCGAAAATTTTCTATAGAAAAGATAAATTTTCCGAAAATTTTCTATAGAAAAGATAAATTTTCCGAAAATTTTCTATAGAAAAGATAAATTTTCCGAAAATTTTCTATAGAAAAGATAAATTTTCCGAAAATTTTCTGTAGAAAAGATAAATTTTCCGAAAATTTTCTATAGAAAAGATAAATTTTCCCAAAATTTTCTATAGCAAAGATAAATTTTCCGAAAATTTTCTAAAGAAAAATGAAATTATCTTTCTATAGAAGATAATGGTTTTTTTAATAGAAAATTTTCGGAAAATTTGTTCTTTTCTATAAAAAATATCCTATATACATATAATAATTTGTTTATTTTTTTCAAAATTTAGAATTCTTTATAAAAAATTGCTTTAATTTTAGAATATGTATTTTGTCAATTAATTATAAAATTATTTTGCTAATCAAAATCCTCATCACACTCACCCTTCTCGAACATTTGTCACTCAACCAACACATTGTTAACAATATAATAAGCATTGGCAAAACCATATGCAGACCATGCAAAACCTCCCTTACATCGAATGATTGGTAGGCGAGTGCAGTAACTGCAACATACATAATCTCGGTTAATTCACAAATACACAGGAAATTCGTTAGTAAAACGGATAAGCCAAATAATGATGAACATGTTAAAGAGATTTGAATTATTTTGCCATAAATACATTTCATTGTCCAGATACGTTGCAGCAAATAGTGTCTGACAACAGACATGCCACCACTACCAACACCACTGCCAACATTATATAAAATACATTGATTATTAAAAACATTCATTTCCGCCGGATGTCCAACTGTTTGCTGTTTGTCCTTCTTCTGCTGGTGTTTTTGTTGTTGTTGCTCATGTAGATTGATTTTTAAACATTTTTCCAGATTTTCTAAATTCTCATCAATTTTAATAATAATCAAAACAAATTGTAAATAAACTGCCCTAATGGCCTGCAATGTCAATAGAAAACGAAAATAAGTCAATAGGGAGGAAAGACTTGTGTAATACCATTTATAGATTAAGGCAATGGTATTCGATAGAATCTCCACCAGACAAAAATATCTATAGAATACAATTTTATAACAATTACTTAATTCTAAATTATGAAATAATTTCAATTGAAAATCATCTTCAATTTCTTCAAATAGTTTCAAAATATAAGCCTCCATTTTACGTTTCATTATCACACGACAAGCAATAAATATGCGCACAATTTTAAAGGCCAAAACAAGGGCTAGATTTACAAAAACCATTATATTTTGTATAACATTTATATCGGCCGTATCCTCGCTAGCACGTGAGCTAAAGTTATAGACCAGTTTCACATCCAGTATGATAAATATTAAGTTATAAAATATTAGCAAATTTTCTGTACATTTATTATTCGAATGACAACTTACGCCCATAAAGCGTAAATAATAGAGATATATTTTATTTAAAGTTGTTGGTGACATGCCGTGTCTTTTTTTTTCACAATTCAATTTTATACTTGTATGTGTTTTTTTTTTTATTTTTTAATTTATCCCCGCTTATCCGTAATTGTGTTTTTTAATGTAAAGACATTTACTCTATGAGTGTTAAGTATTTTTTTGCATTTATATTAATGTTTAATAAATATTTGCCATTTCGCTTAATTACGTGCGCTACATTAGGCGGAAATTGACTGGATATATTATTTAAACTAAAAATTATAAATTTTATGAAAATTTTCTATAGAAAAGAGAACTTTTCCGATAATTTTCTATAGAAAATAGACATTTTTTGAAATTTTTCTATAGAGAAGAGAAATTTGTTGAAATTTTTCTATAGAGAAGAGAAATTTTTCCAAAATTTTCTATAGAAGAGAGAAATTTTACGAAAATTTTCCATAGAGAAAAGAAATTTTACGAAAATTTTCTATAGAGAAAAGAAATTTTCCGAAAATTTTCTATAGAGAAGAGAAATTTTCCGAAAATTTTCTATAGAGAAGAGAAATTTTCCGAAAATTTTCTATAGAGAAGAGAAATTTTCTATAGAAAAGAGAATTTTCCGAAAATTTTCTACAGAAAAGTAAAATTTTTCGAACATTTTCTAAAGAAAAGAGAATTTTCCGAAAATTTTCTATAGAAAGGAGAAGTTTTCCGAAAATTTTCTATACAAAAGAGAAATTTTTCTATGGAAAAGAGAAATGTTTGGAAATTTTTCTAAAGAAAAGAGAAATTTTCCGAAAATTTTCTAACGAAAAGAGACATTTTCCGAAAATTTTCTATAGAGAAGAGAAATTTTCTGTAGGGAAGAGAAATTTTCCGAAAATGTTCTATGGAGAAGAGAAATTTTCCGAAAATGTTCTGTAGAGAAGCGAAAATTTTCTATAGAAAAGAGAAATTTTCCGAAAATTTTCTATAGAAAAGAGAAATTTTCCGAAATTTTTCTATAGAAAAGAGAAATTTTCCGAAATTTTTCTATAGAAAAGAGAAATTTTCCGAAATTTTTCTATAGAAAAGAGAAATTTTCCGAAATTTTTCTATAGAAAAGAGAAATTTTCCGAAAATTTTCTATAGAAATGATAAATTTTCCGAAAATTTTCTATAGAAATGATAAATTTTCCGAAAATTTTCTATAGAAAAGAGAAATTTTGCGTAAATTTTCTATAGAAAAGAGAAATTTTCCGAAAATTTTCTATAGAAAAGTGAAATTTTTCGAAAATTTTCTATAGAAAAGAGAAATTTTCTGACAATTTTCTATAGAAAAAATAAAGTTTACAGCCTTTTCTAAAGAAAAAAATTCAAAAATTTTCTAAGGAAAAAAAAAGAGACATTTTCCGAAAATTTTCTATAAAAAATTCATAATCCTCCGTTATGACCAAGAGATTATTTGGAGCAACCTGCTGAATCTTTCAAGGCAATTGTATCATCCAAAGAGAAAGAAAGGGATTTCCTTCTGCGGCACCACCCGCTTCTAGCTTAACATAAGTTTATCACAGTAAAACTACAATTTCTTGTAAATTGCTTTCCCTTATAGGGTCCATAAGTGTTCATACCACCACTTAATAAATTATTAATAAAGCTTTCGTCATATTCATGTTTCCCTACAAAAATGTCTGTCTGTTCTCTTTGTCGGTTTACTTAAATAAATTTTTTCATTTTACATTTTTATCAATTTTTCCAATATTTTACTATTTTCTTTACAGAAATAAAAGCATGTAAATTAATTCATTAATATATGTTCGTATATATGTATTTGTGGTTATTAATATTAATTGTGGGTGTTGTCCAATTGTACAATACAGCAAGAACAACAAAAACATAATAAATAAATTATTGTCGCTTGTAAATAAAACGTGTCAAACTGTATTAAATTTTAAGACTGTCAATTATTTTGTGTAATAAACACAAAAGGGTATTGTCAGCAATGGATAAAATTTGTATGTAAAAAACCCTTAAGAAGATTATAATTTATGTACTTAACTAAAAATTCGAAAAAAGTACTTAATTTCTTTAAGAAACTTTATGACTTAAAAAAAATCTCATTTGTTATCATTATATTTGTGTTAAAAATAAAATCCAATTTGTTTTATTTTATTTTTTGCTATTTATTATCTATCATCTTTTGCATTATTTTACTTTGTTGTCAAAATCACTCCTAAAACTTATTCAAATACTAAAAGCAAATTGTTTTGAAAAAAGAAAAGTAATGACAAAACCGTATGTCTGTTGAAAATAATCTTGGTATTTATTGATTTTTTATTGAAATTTAAAGATAATTTGAGGGATTTTTTTGCTGTTTGAGCAATGAGAATGGTGAAGACAATTTTAAGTACTACGAAAGAAATGAAGATAAAAAATGTTTAATAAAATTTAACTGAAAAGCATTGAGGCATTTAATGCGTAATATTTACAATTTTGATTTAAGACAAGTTATCATAAAAGGTTATATAAAATTTAATTTGAGTATAAAAATGGTTTTGTTTTAGCCTTTTTCGACTACATTTTCTAAATCATTTAACGTTTAGTTTAAGTATTAATTAATATTAACTAGTCTATTAACTAGTCTATAGTCTAGTCTATAGTCTAGTCTATAGTCTAGTCTATAGTCTAGTCTATAGTCTAGTCTATAGACTAGTCTATAGTCTAGTCTATAGTCTAGTCTATAGTCTAGTCTATAGTCTAGTCTATAGTCTAGTCTATAGTCTAGTCTATAGTCTAGTCTATAGTCTAGTCTATAGTCTAGTCTATAGTCTAGTCTATAGTCTAGTCTATAGTCTAGTCTATAGTCTAGTCTATAGTCTAGTCTAGTCTAGTCATAGTCTAGTCTATCTAGTCTATAGTCTAGTCTATAGTCTAGTCTATAGTCTAGTCTATAGTCTAGTCTATAGTCTAGTCTATAGTCTAGTCTATAGTCTAGTCTATAGTCTAGTCTATAGTCTAGTCTATAGTCTAGTCTATAGTCTAGTCTATTCTAGTCTATAGTCTAGTCTAGGTCTAGTCTATAGTCTAGTCTATAGTCTAGTCTATAGTCTAGTCTATAGTCTAGTCTATAGTCTAGTCTATAGTCTAGTCTATAGTCTAGTCTATAGTCTAGTCTATAGTCTAGTCTATAGTCTAGTCTATAGTCTAGTCATAGTCTAGTCTATAGTCTAGTCTATAGTCTAGTCTATAGTCTAGTCTATAGTCTAGTCTATAGTCTAGTCTATAGTCTAGTCTATAGTCTAGTCTATAGTCTAGTCTATAGTCTAGTCTATAGTCTAGTCTATAGTCTAGTCTATAGTCTAGTCTATAGTCTAGTCTATAGTCTAGTCTATAGTCTAGTCTATAGTCTAGTCTATAGTCTAGTCTATAGTCTAGTCTATAGTCTAGTCTATAGTCTAGTCTATAGTCTAGTCTATAGTCTAGTCTATAGTCTAGTCTATAGTCTAGTCTATAGTCTAGTCTATAGTCTAGTCTATAGTCTAGTCTATAGTCTAGTCTATAGTCTAGTCTATAGTCTAGTCTATAGTCTAGTCTATAGTCTAGTCTATAGTCTAGTCTATAGTCTAGTCTATAGTCTAGTCTATAGTCTAGTCTATAGTCTAGTCTATAGTCTAGTCTATAGTCTAGTCTATAGTCTAGTCTATAGTCTAGTCTATAGTCTAGTCTATAGTCTAGTCTATAGTCTAGTCTCTAGTCTAGTCTATAGTCTAGTCTATAGTCTAGTCTATAGTCTAGGCTATAGTCTAGTCTATAGTCTAGTCTATAGTCGTCATAGTCTAGTCTATAGTCTAGTCTATAGTCTAGTCTATAGTCTAGTCTATAGTCTAGTCTATAGTCTAGTCTATAGTCTAGTCTATAGTCTAGTCTATAGTCTAGTCTATAGTCTAGTCTATAGTCTAGTCTATAGTCTAGTCTATAGTCTAGTCTATAGTCTAGTCTATAGTCTAGTCTATAGTCTAGTCTATAGTCTAGTCTATAGTCTAGTCTATAGTCTAGTCTATAGTCTAGTCTATAGTCTAGTCTATAGTCTAGTCTATAGTCTAGTCTATAGTCTAGTCTCTAGTCTAGTCTATAGTCTAGTCTATAGTCTAGTCTATAGTCTAGTCTATAGTCTAGTCTCTAGTCTAGTCTATAGTCTAGTCTATAGTCTAGTCTATAGTCTAGTCTATAGTCTAGTCTATAGTCTAGTCAATAGTCTAGTCTATAGTCTAGTCTATAGTATATTCTATTGTCTAGTCTATAGACTAGACTATAGACTAGTGTAGTCTATAGTCTTGTCTTTTAGTACTTTTTTAAAATTTCAATTTTCCATGTCTGCTACAGAACACAATTATGAAATTCATCAGAAAATTGTGGTTTCTCCAGATTATTACAACAATGACACAGATTTCAATTTATGTCAAGAATATTTTCTGAATAAATCATTTAAATAATAAATAAACTAACTCAGTTGTATATCAAAATAATATTTATACAATTTGTATTACAAAAATATACATTTAAACGATAATTGCATTTTATATTAAATCACACTTTACCAACTTAACTTAACCCTTCCCATAACCACCCAAACGTATACGTAATATTTATTATGTCGAATAAATATTTATTCCACATACGCAATAATATTGTTACCCATATAAATGGTAAATTAAATATACAACCATCTTTTCCATCTACAATTTCATAAATTCTTTTTATATTGCAGCATATTTAATTTTTAAACTGCAATTCCAACACTTTAGTTCAGTATGACATGGTCTCTTCTTTCTTGTTTTAAGAAAAAAAAAACACCATAAATTTTCTAAACTATTTCAATTCACTTGGAACTCTGGGAACATTTTATTATTGTAATTCAGTTGTTTTTATATGCATTTATAAAATGTTTCTTACTTTTTTACTATTTCCAGTGCTAACAGTATTAACATCAACTATCAAATACAACGAATACGTGACAGATAAAGGGGAAAATATTTCAATACCATGTATTGCTGATGGCAACATAATGTGGGTCAAAGAAAATGGCAGTAATAATAGCACAATTATACAGGTAAGTTTAACATTTGAAATAAACCACATATGTATGTTTTACATATTTACTTGTACGACTACTTGTTCTTTAGATTACCTTTATTTAAGGGTATTTAGGTGTAGGTCGTTGTTGGTTAAGCTTATTTGGGTGGGTGTGTGCAAGATAATAATTGTAGAATTTTATATGCAATTTACATATTAAATTTTTGAACTTAAAAACCACAAAACTAAACTCAAATAATACAAAGTTTACAACAGTTTACAGTGGTTAAAGTTGGAATATAATTTGAAGAATTTAAGTTAATTATTTTTCGAGTGTACACTTTAAATGAATCTTTAGTTTTTCTTAATCTATCTATCTATCTATCTATCTATCTATCTATCTATCCTATCTATCTATCTATCTATCTATCTATCTATCTATCTATCTACTATCTATCTATCTATCTATCTATCTATCTATCTATCTATCTATCTATCTATCTATCTATCTATCTATCTATCTATCTATCTATCTATCTATCTATCTATCTATCTATCTATCTATCTATCTATCTATCTATCTACATCTATCTATCTATCTATCTATCTATCATTCTATCTATCTATCATCTATCTATCTATCTATCTATCTATCTATCTATCTATCTATCTATCTATCTATCTATATCTATCTATCTATCTATCTATCTATATCTATATATCTATCTATCTATCTATCTATCTATCTATCTATCTATCTATCTATCTATCTCTATCTATCTATCTATCTATCTATCTATCTATCTATCTATCTATCTATCTATCTATCTATCTATCTATCTATCTATCTATCTATCTATCTATCTATCTATCTATCTATCTATCTATCTATCTATCTATCTATCTATCTATCTATCTATCTATCTATCTATCTATCTATCTATCTATCTATCTATCTATCTATCTATCTATCTATCTATCTATCTATCTATCTATCTATCTATCTATCTATCTATCATCTATCTACTATCTATCTATCTATCTATCTGTCTATCTATCTATCTATCTATCTATCTATCTATCTATCTATCTATCTATCTATCTATCTGTCTGTCTATCTATCTATCTATCTATCTATCTATCTATCTATCTATCTATCTATCTATCTTATCTATCTATCTATCTATCTATCTATCTATCTATCTATCTATCTATCTATCTATCTATCTATCTATCTATCTATCTATCTATCTATCTATCTATCTATTATCTATCTATCTATCTATCTATCTATCTATCTATCTATCTATCTATCTATCTATCTATCTATCTATCTATCTATCTATCTATCTAGTATGCTAGTTAGATCCTACATACAAATCTTCCTTTAAAACCTTTTCAATTGTATCTACATATGTACATATATCTTAAAACGTCCTACTTATTTGGTAATTTCATTCCATTTATAATATTTATTTGTTGTTTGTGTTTTCTTACTGCCACCCCAGACAGGTAAATATTTGGTACTCACAAATGTCTCGGCTTCCGATAAAGGTTTGTACGTGTGTTTTGCTGCTGTGACATCCAGTCAAAGTCTGGAATATGATGACCAGAATGAAAACAATAGTACTTCATTAAGAGAACATGAGCAACAAATTGACAAAGATGAAGTAGAACAAAATGACGATGATGATGAGAATGAGAATGGTGAAGACGATGCTGATGATGACAGAAATGAACAAGTGCTTTTAACATCGACTACAACAAAAATAAATCATAATGATAATGATACAACATTTGTTAAG